TATCCAATATATGGCATTACATAAAAGATTTTTTTTTATTATTTATTGATATTTTAATTTAAATTAATTTTTCAAATTTCAATTTTTAGGCAAAATAATTGTAAAAAAAAAAATATTTGGAATTTAAAGGATGATTTAGTATTTTATCTTTAAAAGAGTAATAATGTGATATATCAATTTATTTGTCTGAATTCAATATAGATGTATGTATTATGTTGAAGAACAGGTATAAAAGAGATTAGATAATAATGTTTTAAATAAACTTCCTTAAGAGACAATACGTCTGCTAAATGTTATTTATAAATTGCGCATATATATATATATGAAATCGGCAAAATTTTATTTAAAAATAAAGGATTGGTTAAAAAAAATTTTTTTTTAAATTTAATTTATTTTAATTTAATTTTTTTATATTTTATTGTTTTGAAATTTAAAATTTCGATATAAATGAAAGGTATTCTATGTAAAATGAAGACTGTAATTTTTGTATGTATATATAAAGAAATATATCGCTTGCAGCATCCACGTTTTATGAGTCATTTACAAACCCTCATCCTTATATCCCTTTTGTCGTTAACGAATTAACAACCACCACACCCCCCCTTTTTTTTACCCTCATCTACATCAGAGGGGGTTATATGATCGAAAAAATTTCCTACACATTCTAAATAATTACATTTTTTTATTACTAATACTAACTTTTTTCTAACTTGCTTACAATAAATATAGAATTTTTACTCAATTTAAAAAAATACCAAGGATTTTCTAATTAACATAAAATAAATAATTGACACTATTATTTATATAATTATAGAATTATAGAATTAAACATTCGTTACCTTTGATTGTGAGAATATTTTTGGATTTTTTTTATTTTATCAGTTGAAAAAATCACATGCAATAATTGTTATGTAATTTTACTTTTTTAAATTCCGGTAAATGTAATTAAAATATTTCTATTGTTATCATTATAGTTACTGTTATTATTACTATTATTGTAAATATTATTGTTACTATTATTGTAACTATTATTGTAACTGTTACTGTTACTATTGTTGTTACTATTATTATTACTATTATTATTTTTATTATTTTTGTTATAGTTATTGTTATCAATATCATTATTATTATTTTTTGTTGCAAATATTGCAAATATAATAAAAATAATAATAGTAATAATAATAGTAACAACAATAGTAACAGTAACAGTTACAATAATAGTTACAATAATAGTAACAATAATAGTAACAATAATAGTAACAATAATAGTACCAATAATAGTAACAATAATATTTACAATAATTTTTTTTATAGTTATTGTTATTGTTATCAATATCATTATTATTATTTTTTTGTTACAAATATTAAATATTTTAAAAAAATCGCCAATATTAATGGATAAGTATTATTTTTTTTTCTATAATGAATTTTTTCTCTTTTATTTTTTACTAAACTTTGTTAAATAATTATATTGTTGAAAAGATTTTTTCCCTTTTTTTCCAATTTTAATGCTCGAGTGGAACAAAAGTGTTTTTCCACTTGACGGTGCCCAATAAATAATAATTGTTGCTTCCATCTTCTTGGTTGGAATGCATTAGTTCAAAGATAGTCTTGTGTATAACTCCGATTTATATATACGAACTATTTTATTACATCTCTCTTTATAATGTACAAATATATATATATATATATATATATATATATATATATATATATATATATATAGAGTCTGACACAAAGATTTTTACACACACACAATCTCACTTTCAAATATGGGTTTTATGTACATACTTGCACTTGTATAAGCACTGGTCATTTTTATATGAAGGCGTGTGTAATAATATTGCTCACGCATACAAACTTACACATGAAATCAACCAAGCACTGCCAAGCGCGAGCAAAAAAAAAAGAAAAAAAAATTGAGAGAACTCGGGACAAAGAGATCGAGTTGATGTGGACTGCAAAAAAAAAAAAAAAAAAAAGAAAGAAAGAGTTTGCCAGCAATAAGAACTATCAAAGAGTAAAAAGCTGAAACTCTTCTTCAAGGGCTTTTGTTTCAATGAATCTTTTTAACCTTTCAACTGACGCTCACAATGTCTACCTGTCTCGTGTATTATATTTGAAAATCGAGAAATCCTCAGAAAATTATAATGATTTTTTTTTCCATATTTTCTATAAATAATATGAAATTAAAAAAAAAAAAGGATTTTTATATTTCACAAAATTTTTTAATACTCTCTAAATCTGAATTAGTAAAAATATTTACTAATTTAAATTAGTGAACTTACTTTTTGCTTTAGAATTAGTTAAATTTTACTAATTGTTAGTAAAAGTAAAATTAGTCAAATTTTACTAATTCAGAAGCAAAAAGTGAGTCACTAATTCAAATTAGTAAACATTTTTACTAATTCAGATTTAGAGAGTAATTACTTAATATTTTTTATTTTTTATCCCTTTTATTTATTTATTAATTTGTAATGATAAAAATAAAATCATTCTCATGAATGATAAGCGAAAAATAAGTTATTTTTTTTTTAAATGCATGACAATGGAATTTTATCTAACAGAAACAATAATATAGTTTTTTTTTTGTTCTCACCAATTAAATGCATAAATTGTGATTCAGAAATAAATTTTTTACTACCAAAAACCGCAAAAAAATTTCTATATAAAACAAAGTTGTATTATGAGTAATAAAAAATTAAACAATGGAAAAAATACCCTTTTTTGATTTATTCTAAACATACAGTAAGGTGTATTTTCAGAATTTTTTTTTTTTATGTGGTACAGATATTTATATTATTTCTCAGGAAATTTTAGCTTTCAAAAATATCAGTGAGATTATTTTGTGGTTTTCACTTTCTCGCTATTCGTCATTATTATTATTATTATTTTTTTTTTTTATTTTTAAATATAAAATTTACTTGATAAAAAAATATATTTCCTTTCATAATTAATTTAATTTTAATTCCTTGTATTTTATTAAAAAATTTTTAATTCAATTTTTAATTCAATTTTTATAAGCCATTCATTTATATATGGAAAATTATGTTATTCCACGATTATAGTTTAGTTGGCATTAGTCAACTGGCATTTATTTAAATCAAGTGATTTCAATTTTACACGCGGCAAATAAGTAATGAGAAATTTTTTATATGAAGGCCACACATATACTGTGCAATTTCTGGTAAAATAAGAGCCACTGGTCGTGCATTTTATATTGGATTTTGGATCGAAACAAGAAAGATATTTTTGGCTAAGAATCTCAACATGATTGCGGGATATTATAAAAGGATCATTGAACTTTATTCTCAAATTGAATTTAATTTCAATTATTTCAATATTATTTTAGTAACATTTTAGTGAAAATGAAGAAAATTTTACAGTAAATGATATAAAATTTGAATTAGTTAAAAATAACTAATAATTAGTTTTTTTTACTAATAATTAGTATTTTTACTAATAATTAGCTTTTTAGGGTTTCGTGGTCCAGGCCCGAAAGCCTTATAGCATCAGTTACCATAGCAACCGCTACTAAGGGGTTTTTTTTTCTTAGCAACCGTTACTAAGAAATTTTTTTTTCCTTAGCAACGGTAAAATTCTCTTATATTTTTACTAATAATTAGTTGTTTTTTTTTACTAACAATTAGTTATTTTTTTTGTACTACTCTCTAAATCTGAATTAGTAAAAATGTTTACTAATTTAAATTAGTGACTCACTTTTTGCTTCTCATTTAGTAAAATTTTACTAACTAATTAGTAAAATTTAACTAATTCTAAAGCAAAAAGTAAGTCACTAATTTAAATTAGTAAACATTTTTACTAATTCAGATTTAGAGAGTAGTTGCTGAAGCAAAAATTTTGAATCTTAAATATATAAATAGGATACCTATATATTTATTTTTTTTTTATTTTTATCGTTTATTAATTGTGATAGATTGAAAATAATGTGAGAAAAAAAATAATTTGCTTTTGAAGTAGAGCATGATGGGACATCCTGTGACGTTCTCGTTGTGTTTCTCCTCTCTCTCTCTCTATCTCTCTCTCTCTAGACTCATCACAAGAGGTCGAGAAGCGTTAAACGGATTACGGATGATGGGATTTAAAAAGTGAGTGGGTAGAATATATCTACTCCAGAAGAATTATACTCTGTTTAAAACTAGTTCAGTGGAAGAGAAATATTTATATAAACTTAGATTAAAAAAGATTTTATAATAAAATTCATTTTTTTATTTACATATTCTTCAAAGAATAAAAAATTATAAAACTAATTTCAATTAGTAACTTTTTTTTTTTTTTTTGCTTCTAAATTAGTTAAATTTTACTAATTTAGAAGTAAAAGAAAGTAAAATTAGTTAAATTTTTTTTTACTAATTTCAGTTTCTTTTTCGTTAAATTTTATTTAGAGATAATTACTTGAAATGAGGATATATATATAACAACAGTTTTGTAAAAGCAATGATTGTATTATATAATTAGTGTTGTAATAAACAGATGTTTGGTTCTTTAAGAATTATAACTTCACTATTGAAATATTGTCGCAGAAAAATAAGTGCAAATTCAAAAAAAAAAAACCTTCAATTTTTAAAAAAACGATTTCAACTTGACATTTCTGAACTTCCTGTCACGTGCTGTCTGATTCTTGATTAATGAACGTTTCGTGAATCACAGTTCTCGGGTGTCTGAAATTAAAAAAAGACAAAAAAAAAACAGTTTCGTGAAGCTTGCAAAGCACGTGCTTCGAAATGAATCAGATATGCGTGAAAAGAAATTAATGTAACTCAAAAAGAACTTCTTTATTGATATTTATTTAGATCTTATTCAAATTTAATATCCCTCTTCATTTGCATTCTTTTTATTTCATTTTATTCATTTTTTTTTGATTAGAGAAATAATTTCTAATTTTTATTTTATTTTTATTAAAAAAAAAATTTTTTTATTTTGCATATTAAAAACAGAATTTCTAATATTTATATTACTTTTTTTTCCATATGTTTCAGAGTCAGAAACAATGTGATAAAACTGTCGATGGATCAAAATAAAGGAAAAAAATCTCGCAAACAATTTTATTTTTTAAATTTCTCCATATAAAGTGGACAACAAAATTGAAATGCCAGATCAAGGGTAAATAAATTAAAAAGCTCGGAATTCGAGTTTTTCAAATAAATAGAAAGAGAAAGAAAATTGAGCCAAAATGTTCCTCTGCAAACAAATATTTGTTGCATTTGCAACAATTTTAATATCATTCAACATATCATGTTTGGGATTAGAAGGACCAAATGTCTGTACCAGACAAGAACAGTAAGATTTTATATTTAATATAACAAATTTTTTTTTTATACAATTTTATTAGAATGAAAAAAAAAAAATTTTGTAATTCTAATGGAATGTTCTTTTTTTTCTTATTTAGTATCTTAAGAATTTTTTCTACAATGAAGTTAATTATTTTTTTCAGATATCAAGTTTCAGTTAAGGTATCTGAACAGAAGCCTTATATGGAACGAGAACACACGTGGTGCCTCAGTTTTCCTCCTAGGTGTTCAAAATATAAAGTAATTTACAAGACTGTATACAACATTCAGGTGTGTTTTCAAAAAATTTTTCGAAAATTCCACAATTTTGATAAATAAGCTACTTATTTTTAATTCTATAAAAATAAGTTAATTTCGATTAAAATTTATTTTTAATTACAGATAAAAATGTCTGGTGAAGGAATTTTTTTTATTTTAAGTAGAAAAATAAAAATTTTGTCAGACAAAAATTATTTTTTAAATAAAAAATTTTCTTTTTATTTAGAAAAAGAATTTTGAAAAAAATTTCAAAATTTTAAACATGCAAAAAAGATTGTAGCCTTCATTTTAAGTAGATAAAGACGAATTTTGTCAGACAAACATTATTTTTCAGTAGATGGAATTTTTTTCAATAAAAATTTTTATATATTTTATAGTGGAAAAATAGATTTTCAAAGTAAACTATTATTTGAAAGTAATAGAGAAAAAAGAGTTATCAAGAAAATTCTATTTTTTAGTAGAAAAAGAAAAGTTTTGTCAGACAAGGATCAAATTTTAAAAATTGTTTTGTTAAAATGAAATTTACTTTTTAATTTAAAAAATACTGTTTTTTTCAAAAATCTTTGTTAGTAAACAAAAAAATGTCTTAAAAAGACAATTTTTTATTTTAAGTAGAAAATCATTGGTTCAAATACAGTTTATTTGAGTCAAATAAAAGTTATTTAGTTCAAGTAAATATTTATTTGGTACAATTAAATATTTATTCGATACTAGTAAATTAACAAATTATTTTAATTAAATAATTTTTTCCAGTGTAATTTAATTATTATTATTACTTATGAAAAAAAAAAAATTCTAATTATTTTCCTTCATTGCAGACATTAACGAAAACAAAACCTGTCGAGGAGTGTTGTAAAGGTTACACCTTAACAACAGATGGAGATCGTTGTATTCCAATTTGTTCGGAAGATTGTCGACATGGAACGTGTTCAGCTCCGGATATTTGTACTTGTGAATCAGGATATGGTGGTCCACTTTGCGATATTAGTGAGTTAAAAAATTTTTTTTTCGCCATCGACATGAAAAAGTGTCTTTTTTGTGCCTGTTTTGGGCAGATAAAGTAGCACTTTTTAAGGCAGTTTAAAAAAAAAAAAATGTAAAAATAAAAAAATGCCTAAAAAAGACTTTTTTAGGCAGTTGTTAATTTTTGAATAATTTTTGTTTTGCTTTTATTTTATTTATCAATTTTTATTATTTTATTTTATATACTATTTCATATATATAATATATATAAATATATATATTATATATAGGTATATATATATATATATATATATATATATATATATATATATATATATATATATATATATATATATATATTATATATTTCTTTAAAATTGTTTCACTTTTTCATAACAATGGCGAAAAAAATAGCGTATGTGACTCGCACGTAGTAATTTTTAGTTTCGGATGAAAAAATTACATCCTCACCTAAAAAGTACTACTTTACGTGCTTGCCACATAATATACTGTTATATTTAACAATTTCTAGATATAATAATTTATTTTTTAATATAAATTCTGCAAAAAATATTAAATAAATTAAACAACCCTCCTGCTGAGTGTTATCAATATTGCCGCATATAAATAATATCTGCATATATATGAATGATTCATTTTTAATATAAAATTTTCTGATTCATATTTTTTATCAGTATAACGACAATAGGGTCAAAATTCAACTTAATTAATTATTTTTTTTTGCAATTTTTATCTACGGTTAAAAAAAGAAATAATTTTGAATAGATTTTTTATTAAACTTTTTATAATTTTTTTTTTTAATTAATTTTTTTTTTTTTTGAAATCTTAATTTTGAATAATTTTTTAATCTCACATTTTTGCAGAATGTCCAGTTGGCAAATGGGCGAAGGACTGTCAAAAAGATTGTAATTGTAAAAATGACGCCAATTGTGATCCATTCGATGGGAAATGTATTTGTCCACGTGGTTGGGAGGGTGAATCATGTGACAAAAAATGCCCCCCCGATAGTTATGGACAAAATTGTGCGGAAAAATGTCGTTGCCATAATGGTGGCAGCTGTCATCATATTTCTGGTGAATGCCAATGTACTCCCGGTTACACTGGACCACTGTGAGTTATTTATTTTGCCTATAATTTTTTTTCCCCAATGAATCACGAAAATGATCTAAAATTTCACAGGTGTACCAATTAATGATTATAATTTATTTATTTAATTACACGTAGTGTGTAATAATTAATTATTTTTAAACAATAATTTACTTTGAAAAAAAGTAAAATTTATTGTAAAATTTTAGTTTGGAAAAATAAAATTTATTAGTCATTATTATAAATTATTGATAATGTCTGAATTTTAGTTGTATGGATCTTTGTCCTGCTGGAAAACATGGGGAAGAATGCAAATCAGAATGTCGTTGTCAAAATGGCGGATCTTGTAATCCAAAAACTGGAGAATGTATTTGTACTTCCGGTTGGGCTGTGAGTATTATTTTTTTTTTTTCAATTTAAAAAATTTTTCTAAATAAACAAAATTATTTCTTGAACGTAAAAAATTAAATTTTTTTTTTTATTAATATTTTATTAATATTTTATTAAATAGGGCTCAGTATGTGCAAATCGTTGTGCCGAAGGAAATTGGGGAAAAGATTGCTTAAAAGTCTGTGATTGTTATAATGGAGCAACTTGCCATCATATAACGGGCAATTGTATTTGCAAACCCGGTTTCAAAGGAGAAAAAGTAAATTTAATGAATTATTATTTTTTTTCAATTAATTTTTATTTAAAAAATTTTTTTTTCGAAATTAATTTTTTAAAATTTTTAATTAATTGATAATAAATTATTTTTGTTTTTTTTTTTAGTGTTTCGAGAAATGTCCCGAGGGTAAATACGGTGAGAATTGTACAAGTCGATGTAACTGTCGAAATGGGGCTTCATGTAATCCAATTGATGGTAGATGCGAATGCAGTCCTGGATGGAGGGGGAGATTTTGTGTTGAAAGAGCATGTTCCGATGGACAATATGGTCCCAATTGTGAAAAGGTTTTAATTTTTTTTTCTTGTTTTTAAAAAGAATCTAAAAATTGGGAATTTTAGTTTTACTTTATTCTAAATTGAGAAAATAAAAATTCTTTTACTTAAAGTATAATTCTAAATAAAATTTTTTATTTCTTTTCTTTATAAATATATTTAATTACATTTTAATAGAAATAAAATATAATATGATAAATTAAATTGAAATTATTATTTAAAATTTTGAATAAAAAATTATGTAATAGAAAAAAAATGAAAGGAAAAATTAATTTTAATAATTTCAATTTTTTTTTAATCTCACAGGTCTGTCAATGTACAAAAGAAAATACAGAACTCTGTCATCCATGGGATGGTGAATGTATGTGTAAGCCAGGTTGGAGTGGAAAAACATGTTCACGATCATGTCCATTATTAATGTATGGCAAAAATTGTGAACATAAATGTAAATGTAAAAATAATTCACAATGTTCACCAATTAATGGTTCATGTATTTGTGCCGCTGGTTTTCGTGGTGAAAATTGCAATGAGGAATGTCCTGAAAATACATATGGCGAGGATTGTGCACAAAAATGTGCATGTAAAAATGGGGCAAATTGCCTAAGGGAAAATGGTCGTTGCAATTGTACAGCAGGTGAGAATAATAGATTTTTTTGCATTCTAAAATTTCGAAAGAAAAATTTATCCAGGACCAATTTTTCTTTTTTTTTTGTTCTTCTATTTTTTTTTATTGTTTTTTGTTCTTTTATTTTTTTCACATTTGTTTTGTTATTTTCTGTTTTTATTGTTGCCTTTTTGGGGAGATGAAAGAATAATAAAAAAAATTTTGAAGGTAAGTAAAAAAAAAAAAGTAGATTTATGTGTATAATTGCAAATTTTATTAGGATGGGTTGGAGTCTTATGTGATCGTCCTTGCAATGACAAATTCTTTGGTCTGGATTGTGAAAATAAATGCCAATGTTATAATAATGCGGCCTGCAATCCGCAGAATGGTAAGTGATACAAATTTTCTTTTTTTTTTTAGTTCACATTAGCTTTGTTATTAATTAGGTGCAATTTTTTTTCCTTCTTTACTCTCACAACTAAGTAATAGAACTAAAACCAAAAAAAAAAAGCATGTCTCCAATTCCGCAGTATATTTACAATTGTATTAATATCTGTAACCAAATATAAGTGCTGCTCATTTTTAGAAAATAGATTTTTTAGAAAATGCTCATCTCATCCAAGGAGGATTTTTTGAATTATGAAATATAATATATATATTTTTATTGGCAATTCAAATTTATACAGAAAACAAAATTTATTAAAAAAAAAATCTTTATGCCATTTTTGGTTTTAGAGAACAAAAAAGAAAATTTCATTTGGAAGCATGCTTTTCCAAAAATTTTCCAGTATCTTTTTTTTTCAAAATCTTCAATTTCTTGCAAAATTGGAGAAAAATTTTCCATTTTTGTTGCACCTGAACTTTATGAAATAGTCACACGCATAAAAAAAAAAGAAAAAAAAAAAAAACCGTGGTTTTTGTAAAACGCACAGGCTCCTGTACCTGTGCAGCTGGTTTCACTGGGTTAAATTGTGAAAATCGATGTGAAAAAGGATTCTTCGGACACAATTGCTCACAGGTGTGCGATTGCAATTCTGACAATAGTATTGACTGTGATTCAACAACTGGTCGTTGTATCTGCAAGCCTGAATGGCGAGGTTCGTAAAATTTTCTCCATCTTCTGCTAAAAAAAAAAAAAACAGGGGAGGGCTAAATCGCAAAATTAATTTTTGCATAGAAATTTTTCCGCATTTTTTTCAATTCTTTAAAATTAAATTATCATATTATTAATACAAAATAATTTTTTAAAAAATTCTTTTGAAATTAATTTTCTTTTAAACGCTTCTAAAGAAAAAAAAAAAAAAAAAAAAAATTCAGATTTGATTTCAAAAAAATAAAAATGCGAATAATATAGGAATTCAATGCGAGACACAATGTCCGCCTGGGCTTTATGGAGAAAAATGTCATTCACAATGTAACTGCAAGAACAATAGTTCGTGCGATGCAAATACTGGTGCTTGTATATGTTCCCGTGGATGGGAGGGTCCAGATTGTAATCAACCTTGCAAAGAGGGATATTATGGTATTGGATGTAAAGAAAAATGTCCCGAAAAAACTCAAGGTAAGGGAGACAAAAAAAAAAAAAAAATTATTTATTTTCCTTTTTAATATTTTAATACAAAATTAAAAAATTTTGTTATTTTCCTTTTTTTTCCCTGTTATGGTGGAATTACAACATTTACAAATTCGCTTTTCTACTCACTATTTCCTAGTTCTTAATTAAAAACTTCCTGTCGATTCGCTTCAATTGCCGTAAATTGATACACTACACATTTAATTTCAACTTAAATTTTTTTTTAAAACACATTTTTATTATTTTTATTCATATAATAATAATTAAATTTTTTAAAATATAAATAAAAATTACTTTTTTTTATTTGTATCAAAGAATTTTAATTTACAATTTAAAATTGTAATAATTATAATAATTATCCTTTTTTATTTTGTATCTTTGAAAATTTGAAAATTCATTTAAATTTATTTCATAATTTTCGATATTTAATTTATAAACAAAAAAATTTGTTTTGAAGATAAAATAATAAAACATTATGCTTTTGAAAAATGGTCTTTAATATTATAAAAGGTGAAAGGTAGAAGGTAGAATAGTATTGTAGAAAAAATGCATTTGTTATTTGTAGCACGTTGATTAAAAAAAAAAAAACACTAAAAAAAACGAATCTCTCTCTTTTCCTTGCCTCATCGATTATTGTCAATAGGAAGAGAAATGTAAGTATTAAAAAATTTTTTCTTCACAGTTTGGACGATCCAACCCATCAATTTTTATAGCATATGTTATTAAAAAAAAAATTTGTTATTCAACAGAATTTCACACACACACACATTTTCATTATAATTTTCCAATTTATGGACAATTATTACATGTATCGTGTTTTGTGCACTATTTATATTTTTTTGGTCACTAATTGGGACTTATTAAAATGCATGTGCGCGCATTAAATAGAATTTTGAAATGACAATAAATTACACGTTGAAGAAACATTAAATAATTTTAATTATATAAAAAATTTTGCAATTAATTTTTTTTTTTTTTTGCAGTTAATATTTTTTGTACGGACTGAAAAAAAAAATTTATTTGAAAATTGGTTACTTTGACTATTAGATAATAAATATTGATAATAGTTAATCGATTTATTTGAATTAAATAAATTTTTTTCATTGTACAATTTTTCTATTAATTTTATATTTTATTTGTGTAAAATTTATCGCAGTTAATGGAAATATGTTAAAGTTAAAATTTAAAGAGGAAATAGTTTTTTTTATTATTTTTAATTGTTTATAGGAAATATGACATGCGATCATGTCACTGGAGAATATATTTGCAGACCAGGCTACTTAGGACTTACTTGTGAACATCCTTGTCCTCCAAGTAGATATGGAATGAATTGTGCTAAACATTGTACATGCAAAAATGGCGGTGAATGCCATCACGTGACAGGTAAATTCAAAATTAATTTTTTTTTAAAAAATAATATTTATAATTTATAATTTTTTATATATTATATAAAATAATTATTTCTTTTAAGTTATTTTTTTTCTACTTAAATGATCGTCGCAAAATTGTATAATTAATTAAAAAATAATTTTTTGAATTTATTTTTTGTTGAAAAAAAAATATAAATAAATTTTTTTATTAGGAAAATGTCAATGCTTCCCTGGATGGCAAGGTGATCATTGTCAAATTCCTTGTCTTGAAGGAACGTATGGTACCAATTGTACGCAGCATTGTAAATGTCAAAATAATGGACAATGTAGACCTCATGATGGCTCTTGCAAATGTATGCCTGGTTGGGCTGGCACAAGATGCACTGAAAGTGAGTAATAAAATTAAAAACATTCCCTTTTTTTTTGAAATAAAAAAAAAAATTATTAGAATTATAATAATTTTTTTAATTTTTCAAAAATTAAATTGTATTTTTCAGTTTGCCCAGAAGGTTATTATGGAGATCATTGCATGAAACCCTGCGAATGTAAAAGCGATTCGTTTATTTGTCATCCAGCTGAAGGATGTATTTGCAAGCAAGGATTCACGGGTAATGTATTTTTTTTTCTTCTTGAAAACGTAGCTATTTTTATTAAAATAATTATTTTTAGGGGTTGATTAAAATTTTACATAAGATTTTATTCTCACAATAGTAGAGATTTAATGACTGACTAAAATTGGCCTTTACTACTTAATATGTAAAATACAAAAAATTTGGTAAATATTTGTCTAACTAATAAAAACTTTTACTACTAATACAAAAAATTGTGGGAAACAGAAAATATTGTGTCTAACTAAATCTGGCCTTTACTACTTAATAAACTTTATGAAATTTGCGTCTGACTAATACAAACTTTTACTACTGATATAATAATCACTCGTCTTACCAAAACTAACTTTTACTACTAATACAAAAATTGTGGGAATAAGAAAACTTATGTCTGACTAAAACTGTCATTTACTACTTCATACACAATACAAAAAAATCGGTAAAATCCGTCTGACTAATACAAACGTTTACTACTGATACAAAAATTGAGGGAACTAGAAAAATATTCTGTCTGACTAAATCTGTCCCTTACTACTTAATAAACATCACGAAATATTGGAAAATCTCCATCTGACTTTGTCTAATGTTTACTACTGTAAAATTTTTTTTTTAGTAATTTGTCTGACTGAAACAGACTTTTACTACTGATACTAAAATTCTACTAATCGGTGAAAACTTTGGGTCTTATTAATCTCATCTTTTTCTACTAATAAATACAAATGTGTCTTACTAAACTCATCTTATACCACTAATATAAAAAAAAATTTTTAATCACAATTCAATTGGTTTTTATTTATTATTTCTTTCTAGTAATTTTTGTATTATTATTAATTTTTTTTAGGACCAAATTGCGATGAACCATTAATGTACAGAAATATTCAAGAAAAAGAAGAATCTAGCGTTGGAAGTATCGTGGCAGGAATTTTCGCTGCAATTATGGTAATTGCAATTTCCCTTGCCGCATGGTTTTATCATCGACGAAGAGTTGCTGATTTAAAAAAAGAAATGGTTCAAGTTCAATATGTTGCTGAACCAGTAACACCACCTGGTATGTTTATTAATTTTCATTTCTTTCAAATAATATAATTAAAAAAATTATTATTAAATTTTCATTCTAATATTTACTAGAATTTATATTATAATTTTTATAATTAATAATTACAAAAATTTTAATTATCATTTAATAATTGTTAAAAAAATATTGAATAATTATAAAATATGTTGATATTGAATAATTATTAATTATTATTTAATGGAATAAATTAATTATTTAATAATTAGTAAGTTTTAAAAAATTGAATTCAGAAGAAAAATGGTTTATGAATTTTAGACCGATCACAATTCGATAATCCTGTGTATTCTTATCAAGGATCATCTAGATTTGATGATGGAACTGCAACGTTACTTAATAATGTTCAAATTAGAAATGATCTTGGCCGAAAAAATATAAATATTGAAAAAATGAAATTTGGAGGACATGATGACGATGACGAAAGTGCTAGAGGTGAGAATTTCCTACAAATAATTATATAATAATAATAATAATAATAATAAAAATAATAATAATAATAATTAAAAAATAAAATTTGTAGAATTTTATTTCAAAATTAATTAAATTTTTAAATATAATAATGAAATTTATAATTAAATAAAAATTGAAATTTTCTCTATTTTTTTTTAAGGAGCCTACGGTTCGTATGATCATTCAGTTCCACAAAAGAACAAAGATGCAGATATGGGAAATCCAAATGTAAATATTTACTACAGCATTGATGAAATGGACAGTAAAAAAGGCGAACATTTTTATGAAGATATAAAACATAAAACAACTGAAATGGAATATGATCATTTGGATTATTCACCAGCTCAAAATGAATGGAAACTTCATTATCATCATATGGCAAATGGATTTGTCTCAAAGGATGGAAGTGGTCCAAGTAAATCAAAGGATCATGATCCTGAAAGTGGTCGAAAGTAAATATAACTTTTTTTATTTTTATTTTTTTTGACCAAAAAAAAAATATTTTTATTTTTTTTTGACCAAAAAAAAAAATATTTTTTTTTTTTTATTTCAATGAATATCAAAGGAAAATAAAAAATTTTTTTCTTATAAATAAAACAAGAAAATACTCACGCAAAATATAAATACACTTTTAAATTATTCAAGACAAATGCATTTTGAATTATAGATGAAAAAAAAGAAGTTTTTGAATAATTTTTAAGTAAATTGTGAGACTTGCCTTTGTGCTAATAATAAAAATAATGGACTGGAATCATTTATAATAAAAAAAAAATGTTATATGTGAAAATCATTTTCACCATAGCGATGAAATATGATCTGGAAATAATGTATTTTAAAATTATTTTTATTACAATTTTGTAAATAATTCATGTATCATCTCATTTTTTTTTTTTTTTAATAGAGATTCTCTTTTAAGACAATAGAGGAAGTTAATTGTATACGAAAGAGAGGAAATTTAAACAATTTTGAAATTAGAAAAAATAGGTCAATTTTTGAAATTTAAAAATTAAAATTCGAAATTTTTATTATATAAAAAGTTAATTTAACAAATAGTTTACCTCTGATTAATAAATACATTTAAATATTGTGTTCATGATAATAAAATTTCGACGATATCTGTATACACCACGCCATTTTTCACACAGGTGTACTATTAATATAGGTGGAAAAACTAAAATTTTGTAAATTATTTTTTAAACATATTTTTTTTTCTTAAGTAAAACAAATTAATTTTCAAGGAGTAATTAGGGAAATTAATCGATTGTCTTTCAAATACTCTTCGAAATGTATTATGAAACTTTTTTAAGCGAGAATGATTTTTACTTTGTAAAATATATTTTTTACATTAAAAAAAAAAGAAATTATAAATTCATATACTATTTGTTATATATCATAAGTATGATTTTAATGTTCTCATTAATTCTCGTGTTGTCTGTATGATTACAAAATTTATGAATGTGTAAAATTAATGTTTAAAAACAAAGATTTATAATTCTAAGTATTTTATATTTTCTAAATGAATTATATTATTTGATGAAATTTGAATTTCAAATTGCATTTTGCAAAATAAAATTGTAAAAAATGTGTTTTTTTTTTAATTTTAAGTGTGAATGTTTACGAATATTGTTTAACGTGAAATGTGTTTATTTCTATGTTATTTTCGATATATATTATGTATGTGTAAGAAGAAAAAATGAAATGAATGATCTTTACCTGTGATAAAAGAAAGAAAAAAAAAAGTTATATGTTTATGATAATAAATTTTACGTACTATGTAATTATTAAACTTTTTTGGGAAACAATAAAATTCCATTTAAAAAAAATTTCAGTTTTTTTCTTTCTATCAAATTTTTAGTAAAATTGAAATGAATGATTTTATTATTTGGTTTAAATGAATTATTATTTGTGCTAAATAATTTTTTTTTTATTTATAGCAAAATGTTATTAATTTAGAAAAATAATATTTTTCTATTTGATTTAAAATAAATTTAATCCGTTTCAAAATAAATACAAAAAAAATTCTCTGAATGTAATAGACGAATTTAAAATAGAATAAACGTATAATTTAATTTAATTTCATAATTTAATTAATTTGCCCGCGCAAAACCTGTTTAAATATTCTTTTCAATGGTCGTAGATTTAGAAATGAATTTAATTTTCTAAATATATATATATACATATAAAAATTTGATTTTGCATTTAGGGGAAAAAGATGAAAATAAAATGTCTAATTAAAACTGACAGTTTTCCTTTAAAAGTCTGAAATGTTATTTCAGTTTTAATATAATAAAATTGAGAATAATAAATCAATTTCAATAACTTCCAATATTACTTTAGAAATTATTTATAGGCATATATGAATATAACTGTTATAGATTATTTATAGTCTTTAAATCGCAGATAGTGTAAACTTCATATATATTTATATTTAAATTCATATAGAATACGCGAGTAAGGTTTTTTTTATTTCAAATATTAATCACGAGCTTAAAATGTTAAAAATCCCGTCTACTATTATTAGAAGTAAAACTCATTATTATTTAATAATAAGATGAAGACATTCTATTTTACTAACAAATATATAATTTTTCGTTTAAAAAAAGGATAGAAAATTATATAATAATATATAGTTATTTTTGCCGTTTTATAATCACTTCTTATTATTTATCAATTGAATATTACTTAATTAAAAAATACTTAATTAGAACTTTATTAATTAAAATTACTTTCATTAAAAATCACATAATCTACTCGGTATGTAGTAAAAGTAAAAAAAATTTTGAACTAAAATGGAAAAAATTATCTTTTTTCTTACTAATATTATTACACTTGTATTTTTACTTAAATTACATAATTTTATCTTTGTTTCACTTTTATATTATCACTTATAATAATGAAGTTCTTGAGAATTATATTAATTACATTTCAATAAAAATATTTTATTATTATTTAAATTCAAGTTCAAATAGAAATTAATTACAGTTGGTTTTATGCAATTTGTTACATATAATATTGCCACCTTGATTATGAGATATAATAAATGAAATATTTCGAATTTTATTTCATTGTAAAACATTTCAGTAAAACAAAATATGTCTGGAGAATGTTCTATATTTATCAAAATTATATGCATGTAAATTTAAAGCAACTTGTACAATTGCGTTTTAGAAACAATGGCGAAGTTAAAAATATTTTTCAAGATAAAATGCAATTTTAAATTTTATGAGTTGTATATTTCAGCATATGAAAACTAAACAATTTATACACGTGCGTGACTATTCTTGAAATATTACATGTCTTGTAATGCATAGATTTAGATGGTCTTGACATTGCTTTTCTCGGTCTCTTTCCAGATAAATTCATAAACTTTAAAATTCACTGGATTAATATTATAGGTTTGGCAAAATTTTCTTAAATAAATAAAAAAAAAAATATTAACATATAAAAATATATAATAACATATAATAATAATTATATAATATAATATATAATACGGCTGCATTTCATTTTATGTAGAAAAAGTGATAATAATTATTATCCGCTGAATAATATTACGATAAAATATTTTAAGTAGAAAAATACCGGTACAATCAGACGAAAATAATTTTTACCCAAAAACAATATGTTGTTTAATATATAAATAAAAAAGCTATTTTTTAGACAAGATTAATTTTTTTAATAGATAAAAATGTTTGGATGAAATTCTTGATTTTAGGTAAAAAAAAAGACGTATTTTGTCAGACAAACAATATTTTTCTACACATAAAAAAAAGAAAAAAAAATCTAAAAAAAACTAAAAATTTATATTTTAAGTAACAAATACAATTTTTTTGCAAATATTAAGAAAAAAAGGGTTTTTAAAAAAACCCATATTAAGTAGAAAAAACCTACTTTGGTCAGACAGGAAAATAAATTTTTTTTTCCTACTGTTTAAGATTTTTTTTATCTTTTAATTGGAAAAAAAGCAATTCCTGTTATTTAAAATAAAAAAAATTTTTGAGAAACTATTTTATTTTAAGTAGATAAAGAACAGTTTGGTCAGACAGATATTATTTTTACAGACTGCAGTTGTTTAAGAACTACTTTGTTTTTTAATTGATAATATAATATTGTTTTAAGTGTCAAAAACGGATAAAAAAATGTCATTCTAGTAGAAAATGCCATTTTCGGTGAGACAATAATTTTTTTTTAACTGAATATTCAATCAATTTTTTGTATATAAAAGAATATTTAAGCCAAAGTTTACTTTTATGTAGATAATAAATGTGTTATCAAGATAACCCTTTATTTTAAGTAGAAAAACACCAGTTTGGTCAGACGGTAATTATATTTTCACTGAATAAAATTTAATTCTAAAAAATTTACTTTACGAAAAAACAGTTTTTTTTCACAATAATATATTTAAATACAAAAAAAAGGGTTTTTTTATACAGTCCTGTATTTAAGGTCCCTGTAAGTAGAAAAATTCCAGTTTAGTCAGACCATAATTATTTTTTAACTAAATAAACTTAATTAAGTAATGACAAATTTTTTATATAAAATACCATTTTTTTTAGTAGAAATATATTTAAGTAGATAAAACCTTTTTTTTAAAAAACAATTCTTTATTTTAAGTAGAAAAACACCGGTTTGGTCAGACGATAATTACTTTTTCACTGAATAAAATTTAATACGTCAAATTTATTATTTAATTCGAAAAAGCAGTTTTTAAAAATATATATATATATATATATATATATATATATATATATATATTTAAATAAAAAATGTCTTTTTCAGACAACCCTTTATTTTATGTAGAAAAACGCCAGTTTGGTCAGATATTAATTTTTTTTTCACTGAATAAAATTTAATACCTTTATTATTTAATTCGAAAAATCAGTTAAAGTTCATATATATTTTATTCTTACTCAATAGAAATTATAAATTAAAAATTTTTTTTTTTTTAAAATAATTTTCGCGAAAAAAATTTTTAACCTTTAAATGAACTCTTTGAACTTTAATAGTAGCTTTCCTCGCATTTTATTAATTTTTCTTTCATCAACAGACGAATAAAATAGAGAGAAAAAAAATTGTGATAAATTAAAAGAAGGTCTTTTAAAAAAAAAATTAATTAAGTAAAAATTGTTTTTTTTTTTTTTAAATTCACATTTTTCATAAAGATTAAAAATATCGGTTAAATTGTCGATGAAAGATATATGTAATTTTATATAGATTTGATGAGAGAAAAAGAGAGAAAGAGAGAGAGAAAGAGAGAGCGCCAACGAGAAGAGCATATCAGATACCTGTGCCTTTTTGAGCGCAATATTGATTCGGTATTTTTAGATCCAGTCGCGGCGACCCCGCGGCGTCAAATATTAACCCTCGCCCGAAATAGACCTCTCCACTATGTCAACCCCTCTTGTCGTCGTCTGATATATCTAGATCACTTTTGTTCAAAAACTCAATTGTCACGATGGCACAAAAATTAATTTTATAAATATCATAATACTTTTCTTTGACTATACATTTCTTTTCTATTCAAAAAATATATTATTTAAAAAAAAAATTTCCTCCCCCCTTGAATTTATATATAAAATTATTAAATTAAAAACTAATTTATTATTAGTATTTAAAGTAATTAAATATACAAAACTATTTTTTTTTAGTATTTTACAAGAAATAATAATTTTATTTTGAAAATTTTATTTTTATTATAAACTCTCTAAATCTAAATTAGTAAAAATTTTTACTAATTTAAATTAGTGACTCACTTTTTGCTTTAGCATTAGTTAATTTTTACTAATTGTTTGTAAAAGTTACTAATAATTAGTAAAATTTTACTAATTGAGAAGCAAAAAGTGAGTCACTAATTAAAATTAGTAAACTTTTTTACTAATTCAGATTTAGAGAGAATAAAATTTTTATTTTGCAACAAATAAAATTAGGTATAGAAAAAAATAATAGAAAATTTTTTTTTTTAATTTTATATATTTTTCAAAATTAAATCAGGGGGGGAGAATTTTTTTTTTTC